TATATAAAAGAAATTAAATAATTAGATTCAATTAAATCTATAATTTTTTAGAGTAATTGAATCAGTAATTAACTCATTATCTTTACCCCTTTCCTTTCTTCGCCTCTTCATCTTCTTTCTCAAGAAGATCATTGTTGTAGGCAAAAAAGGAGATCCAAAATTTCACATTACTCTTCAAGGCAAATTGCCGGGTTTTCTCCCTCATCAAAGTTGAATTTTCCATTTGCACATTAAATTTTTTATTGAGAGAATTAAGGGTTGCGTGGATTTTGTTATTTTATTTTTTTCAAATCCTTAGTTTCAATGATTACTTTGAAAGATTGAATTGGTATATTTTCAAAAATACTATAGGTATAATGTCATGTGTGATTATAAACTTACAACATAATGTATTGTTATATAATTATTATTTTTTTATTTAAAAATCCATCTTAATATTTTACCACATCATATTTATTTAATACTGCATTATAATTAAAATTTTATAATTTTATATGACATTATAATTATAGCATTTCTTGATATATATCTGCGTTTGATAGCCCCAATTCCCCGAGTTTGTAGAAAAAAAATGGTGAGGCCATATTTTGTAGATTTGAAGAGTTTTGGAGGTTAATTTAAGAATTTTATTGCTATAAAAAAAATTAAGAATTCATTGATTTATTAATACTTTTCTTTTGATTTAAATGGCCACCTCAGCAACCTTACTAAAAAGAAAAAAAAATAATTTAGAAACGATTTTTTTATCACTTTTTAATAGAATTTTAAATGCTACCGTCAAAAAGGGCAATGACCACCTAAACACAAGGTCAGCAATGGTCCTCCGCAAATTAATCTAGCCGTTAGAGTTTGACGGCTTGCTGATGTAATCCGTCAAAAAAAGGGGGTTATTTACCACCATACAAAAAGTTTGAGGGTTCAAAAGCCTCTGTTTCTACCCGGGGGCTGATTTGCCACCAAATAAAGAGTACAATGGCTGATTTACCCTTTTTACCTAAAAGAAATTGATGAAGATTTTGATCTTTATTGTGTTTATCTCAAAAATTTTTAATTCATATGGGGGTAAGATATTTATTTATATCAAATTAATGTGTTTAAAATA